TTAAAAAAAAAAAGAAGATTTTAGATATGTATTAAAATATATCTTGTGTCTAAATTAGGTGAATTTATTGCCAGACAATTTTTTCGTTTTGCCAGATAACATAATAGCAGTTATACCTAAAGCGAAAAATTGACAGCCATTTCAGGGGATAGGCAGTGATCGGTGATCGGCAGAGATCGGCCTCATGGATGATCAGTATCAGAATCGGCAGTGAAAAACCTGATCGGAGCATCCTTAGTTCTGAGTGACTCAATCTTCTCAAAACAGAACTAAATACACAGCCACTAAACACACTGGGGATGGTTTATACAAATCTCAGCTATATTGAGATTTATAATTAATATCTGATCAAATGTAGTTCAAGTGACTGAAGGCATGTGTGATGCTACAGAAGCAGATTGGTTGATTTCCTGTTTGCGACATGGCTTTGGGTTTAACTGCATACAAAGCAGATAACTTTAGCATCTACCAATTACTCAAGGCAGAAGCTAAAGTTGTGACAAACACAACTTAAGTTTGTGTAATTATATTAAGTTAAATGTTTATATGTTGTTCAGGAATTACTTAATACCACCAATCTTTCTGTTGTTGAGTCTTAGAAAAAAATGTCTGTTCCACTTACTTTGCTCCCAAAAGATGCGAGAGCTTCTGGAGCATTTTGTTGTTCCAGAGCAGAAGGAAAAAAACAAAAAAAACACAAAAAGCTTTACATTAAGTGCATAAACTTATACAAATCATTAACATAAGGTGTTAAAACCAGAAACCAAAACAAGACATTGTTGTCCAAATGCCTTCCACAGGCACACAATCATAAGCCTTTCTGAATACAGATGAAAGCTTATTTTCACAGTATCTGAACCCCCTTTGTTCACATCCCATAATTACTGCTACTTGCAAAAAAGTCTGTGACTGAAACCAGTAACAGGAAATAAAAAATAAAAAAAAAGAAAAAGAAAAAAGTGAGCGACCCCGACCCACTGACCGCTTTATACACCTAATCAGTCAGCCGCTATTCCTATTTGGACCTTAATGGGAGCCTGAGGCGCAGCTCGCAATTACTGCCTCTACAAGCAACACAGACAGCATGACACGTACACGTTGTCACACAGCAACTTCAAGGTAAAATCCTCCGTAGTGGTAATGTGAATTTCACGGCAATTAGCTAAAGTGAACTTTGCTTTGAATATGGATAAATTGGCCAGAGTTCAGCTGTGGAGGGCTTCTCTGGCAGGGGGAGGGAGTGACAGAAGCCCAATTCAAGTTTTAACAGAAATTACTTAAAAGAAACAAAACTCTTTTGGTGATGTAAGTTAGAGCTTAGGTTACAGTGCGCCATGAAGCAGCCAAACCAATCTGCTCTCCTCACATTAACCAAACTCTCCAGAACACAAGAGCTCTACTCTCCACCATGTGAATCACTCCACCAGCCTCTTGTAAAGCCCACCGGACCAGAATCAGCCATCAAAAGCACTTACTGGAAACCATGTCAACATTCCATATTATTCCAGAGTCCTCACTTTCTTTTGGCCCAATTTTAGAGTACAAATACCATCGTTTGTAATGATTATGTATTCAATATTTCTACCGCAGGCAAGCTTTAAATATGAAAACTAGAAAAACTGTGGACAGACAGATCAGTGTCTAGCAATGTTAAATTAGTCATGTATTGACTTCCTGTTTCCATGGTCTAATATGACACCACAGAATCCAATTTCTTAAAATAGCTAAAAGAAAATAACTTTTCGCTTAAACTTCCCAATGTAGAGTCAGAGAAATACAATATTTAAAACTGAAATGGTGAGAGCGTGACTGGATGAGTAGCCAAGTTTATCTTGCAACCAGACCCAGAGAGAAGGATGGTAGAGCAGGTATGAATAAAATAAATATACCAAACGTCCATGGTTGGGGAACTTTAGCCATTTCTCTTTTCAAGAGAAGGCTATGCTAAAGAATTTGCAAAAGGGATTTTATACATATAAATCCTAGCAAGCCAAGTAGCTACACAGATAAATAACTACATAATTATATAGCTAGCTACCTATCTATATAGCTAGCTACATAAATAGGTTCTAGAGAGCTAGAACCACGTAATACAATGCTCACAAAAAGAAAAAATATAAAATGTATAATATTAATATAAATATAAAATGTATAATATTAAAAAATAATAATACATATTATGGACCTTGATCTAGTATCACCAACATGACAGGCATGGAGAATAGGTGTATGGCTATAAAAAAATTCTCACTTTTCCACTTGATTTCACTTGAACATCTACACGTAATAACTGATGCATTTATTTTTTAAAGATGAGCTTATACAAAATTACATGAAATAAACATCTGTTCAATGCAATACTTTTTTTGTTGGAAAAATAATTCAAATAGAATCTATTTTTTGACATGACAAGAATCCATCCAATTCTAGCTGTCCTTTTGAATTCTGAATGCTCAAAGCTCATGCTTTTTCAAAATGAAGGAATGCACTATAAAACTCTAAAAGTGGTTAAATTTGTTGATATGTGGATAGCATTAAACAAATACAGGTTTTCCCCTAAACATTTCCAATGATGTTCAGAAAAGAAAACTGTTCCAGAGAGACTGTATTCATCTTTACCACTTCTGACCTGTGTGCGTGACTCAATCAATCAAGGCTATGGCTTTCTTTGAAGCAACATATGGAAGAACAGACCACAACCGAAACATGAGACACTTATAAACAATAATCAAAGAAAACGCTGCATTTATGGAGTGAGCAAATAAGATTAATGGAACAAATACAGTGCATTTCCAAACTCGTTGATCTATCGTGACAAGTACGTATAATTCTGAAATTGGCAACAATAATCAAGGCAATTATATTTCCATAAACAAACAGCCCTATGCTTTCGACAGTTTTGATGTCATTTAGCCACAGAGTAAACACTGTTCTTAGCGCAGTTCCCAAACTGCACTAAGAACAGTGTCACAAATAATGCTGGTACATAAAATCTCATTGAGCATATAAGCATTTAAGTTAGGGATGCAATGATCCACTTTTTTCTTTTCCAATACCGATACAGGTGTCTGAAGGGTGGTATCGGCTGATACAATACAGAAAAAATGTGCTGAATTGACTTAAAATCGTTATTTTTTTTGTTTTGTTTTGTTTTTTAAACAGAGTACAATTACTTGGTAAGGACCAGTACAATCAACAGCTTCACAAGCCAAGTCAAACATGTAAAACCAACATAACTTTAATTTGTTCAGTCAGTGCAATTAGGAATATAACAGTCAATGTAAAATAAATAAAGAAACTGACACAAATAACAGGTTGACTACCAAGGTCAAACAAAAAAGTGAACCACAACTAACGTTTGAAATGGTTCCGAAAGTGCACTTAGGAATTCTAAATGTATTTTAAAATGAATAAAGTGAACATCGCTCAGAGCACAACGCGTAGACTGTTGTGCAGATCATGCACATTGTCATCGATACCCAATTAAGTTTTTATTTCTATACAGGGACTGATACAGATATTACAGATATTAATACTGGATCGGTGCATCTCTAATTAAAGGTATGGCTGAATTTTCTAAGCTGGAAAAAGATCTTCCAACTACATATGGAGATGCAACGAGTGCCTAATCCATTTTTATTACCATCGCCTCTGCACAGACAGCATGTGATCCAGTTGCCCTTACAACTATGGCTTTAAGAAGATTAAAGCAAATTTAAAATTCATTCTATTTTCCTCAATGCAAATAACCTGCTTAAATTTAATGATTTGACAGCATATGTCAATGAGCAGGATAGTGAGACAAAGACGGACACAGAGAGAGAGAGCCTGTCGTTACAGAGGGACAGATGTCTGCACAGCAGTCTGAATAATGAATTTCCATGAGGACAGCCTCGCTGAAGATGCCGGTGGCTCCTTTTTGTGGATCCTTGTCTGTTTCTCTTCTTCGCCGTCTCCCATCTCAACTGTTTCTCTGCAGATACTCTCCTAATTGAACCTCGCCTTGGCTCAGGGACACAGCCCCTCTGCTAGAGAGCGAGAGCGAGCCAACTATGTCAGAGCTATAATCTGAAGTAGTTGGAGCCAACCTCAGGAGGGTTACGCTGGGAATTTATGGGCACCATTTAGGCTGGCCGCTGAAATAAATACTTCAAGTCTCAGACCGAGCAACTTCACTTCTGGAGTCTACAAAAAAAAAAAGATGCTCATTTAAAAAGATAATGGGAAGTGTTTTAACGTTGTATTTTGTGATGTGTTACACCACAAAACAATGCTTTAAAATCAGTTTCAACTGCCACTGGAATACTAAATACCAGCAAGGTGCGAGACACTGTACTCCACTCACTTCCATGTGCTGACACAGAAAGAAACAAACAGAGAGAGTCACCGGAGAAATGCAAACAATCGTCAACCTGTCTGTTCTTGCTGGTGGCTGTTTACCACTGTGGTGTACATTGTCACTTTTCCAAGATCCCTGACGCAGAAAAGCAAACACAAACACACACTTTTACACACCGTGTCTGCACTCAATTATGTTAGATTTGACACAGGGTGCCAAAAAACCCAGAGTAGATTTCTTTTTCCACAATAAAATCCAAAATGTGGCACAAAATTTTGACATTTGGGTAGAAGGGAGATGATTAAATAAAAGCATTTCATTTTAGCAACAGCTCATCTGTCTTCCTAACGGTTTGTCCAAAGCTTTGCGCTCTTACTATAACGAGGAGCGGAAAGGGATGGATACCCAGGGACAGAGGAGTAAAAAGAAATAAATAAGTTACCAAACTTCAAAGCCGCAGGGACAGGAGATATTGAATTTTAATAAACCCCCTGGTGTCTGTCCTCAGTGTTGCTGAAGTGAACGCTACACAAGACCACAGACATTCGCCATGGCACATGCATGCACAGACAGGCAGGAGAACGAGTGCATACACACACGCACACGCACACGCACACACACACACACACACACACACACAGCAGAGGTCTTTGTTACTCACCTGCTGAACTTCTGTCTCTCCGTTTGATGTCTTCTCTGTGTACACGAATGAGTTGAAAATCCTCTGGAGAGACACAGAGAGAGAGAGAAAGCAGAGACAGTGAGGTTGGACCAGGTAAAGACTGGAGACCAGCACCTATAAAACCTGGCCAGAAAGGACTAACTTAATTAAGAGTGACCATCAAGGCTCTCTATTAAGGCGGAGTGTTAGTGATACATCTCCATCTCTGTGCTGATGACCGATGTTTATCGTCATGTAAAAATTTGAATCCCATGGTTATAGAGTGAAGTATGTAGCTTAAGAAATGCATCTAAGCAACTCATTTTATTTAAGGTCTCCTCCATAAACATTATGAACATAAATTATATTGAATTTGTCCAATCTACATGAATGTTTGTCAAAATGCCAATGATGCATCACTCCACCTGCATGCCAATGACCAAGTTGTTTTCCATATTCAATATTCTCTGAAATTCAGGAACGACAAGACTTAACTCTGTTACTGAAACAGATTCATGCACCAATACCAATTCACATTACTTAGGTGGTCCCTTAAAATTAAATGATGAGATTAAAAGGTGTCCCTCAGGGCACTGCAATTGAGCCTACACTTGTCATGTCAATACAGTTTCTCTGTCTTTAAATTAGTCTGCATGGTACATTTGACATTGCCATTTTTTCCACCTAAAATTTACGCTTAATGCTGAATAAACTGTTTTAGTACAGTGTTTGAATCCATGTGTTGTCATTTTGGGAATTCATACTTTCTTTTTATACCAGTAAACCATATTTTGTCCATCAATCATACATTTTATAGGAATGCTGTCAAAAATTCCCAAATCTGCTGTAAAATTTAAATCACTTCTACCTTAAATATAAATAATCAATTTCAATTGCAGCAGATTTTAAATCCTACTCAAACTGAAATCTTTCTGAGTAACCTCCTGATATTACATATTTAAGACATATAAACATTTTCATAAAATAGACAATGAATAAATAAAAAAAATACATTCAATCATGTTGTAAAACACAATATAAATAAATGTTGACTGATTTAATTAAAGGCTAAAAAAACATCACATTAATACCAAATAGAACATTATCAAAATGAAATATTTTACAGCAGATGGTACCATAATTCCTGCACAATGTGCTCCAACTGAAGGTAGTGTGTGTATGTATTTTTTTTTAATAAATAATGTCTTTATTGTAACATGAAAAAAGAGTTGTTACAGCCAGAATACATCAATGTTTTATCACTAGTGTCTATATAAATGTCTATGTTTTAACAACATTGTTCGAAAATGCATGGACAATGTCAAGATTACAGTCTCTGAAATTAAAGAGTCGACATAATGCTACCTGGAGACTTTTTCATCAGTCATATTGAAGTATTACAAGTATAAAGTCAATTTTTGTACATATATCTTAGGTTTAAGCAGATGTAAAAATGAGGTTGTGTGTCAATAAATTAGCACGGCAAAAGAAACTCTTACTAGATGAACTCCAAATATTTTTGAAGAAAGTTCTTAATATGAATTCATGTTTGGTGAAAATGCAATAATTAGGAATAGTCATGTTTGAAAAGAACACATGCCAACTAAAAGTCTTTGATAACAATAATTATGGATGCCAAGTAAACTGGCAGCAGAAACTACTAATGAGCTTGCCTTTCCAGCTGGATACTGAGAAAAGTCTGAGGTAAAATAGTTCCCTCAACTGACCAACTGTTGGCTGAATAATGAGTCCAGTCGCTGGTCCGGAATCAGTCCTTGTGATCATTTTGTCCAACGTAACTTACAATGACTGATACTTACAGCCACTGATTAGGAAATGTATCATCATAATCATCATAATCTTAGATGATCCATTAAGTTATGGCAAGCGTATCAGTCCCAACAATAATGTCGCTTTACTGAACATTTGTAATTGGAAATGCACCAATCAGTTGCTGGAGGTCGGAATAGTCTGATTTTAATCCAATCTGACCTGTGATCAGTAGGTCAAATACAGAAGAATCAGGGGTTTTTTTTCTTTGTTCTAAATAAAGAGTAAGAACACACACCATTTTCAGTCAACACTTCATTCAACATCTATTGTGATGCACTTCTTGACTTTAAAGAAAATTAAACACATTGGGGACATAATGTGTCCCCAATGTGTACAAATGGGGATTAACATTGAGAGTCCTTCATTTTCTGTTAGATACAGAACTCCTACTACAAGTAAAGCACCTGAAGCACATTGCTTAAAATGACTAAATAAAACCTTTATCAGTCAAAATGTAAAACCTGACAGGTGAATCATTTTTGTGATGTGGATCTCTTTTTAAGCATTTATTTGAGACCATCTGTTAAGTCCATGCACAGCAACAAATCTACAGAACAATAACTGAAAAACAAAAGAATAAATGTTTTAAAATCTTAGATTTCAACTGGAATGAAATTCTGCATTGGGACCTTTAGAGAACGCCGCAAAAACACATTTCCTGAAACTTCAACGAGCTAAAGCAACATAGCAAGAAAGAGGGAGGCAACATTTCTACACAGCATAGTGAGAAACTGACTGATGTAACGCAGAAATAAACTACTTTAAGGTGAAACAGCTAAATGTAGTTCAACAAACTACTAAGGCTGTACTTAGATTTCCATATGCATGTAATAATCATTAAAACATTTTTACCCAGATGATGTAGGAGGCTGCTTAAAATCAGCTCAAACATTTGCTCCAGAAATAACTTGAAATTACACTTGAAATTACATAAAATCAGGGGGGAAAAAACCATTGGAAACAAACAAAAACCTAAGTAGTACTTTTTTTTATTTTTTTTGCACAAACTGGACCAATTTTTAAAAATAATACTAAAAAGGTAAGCAATAACCTCAACTGCTAACACCCACCACCCCCGAATTATTGCGACATCATAGTCCTTTCCTTAAGTTCCCTGGTTGACATCGAAAATGTGTCACCTCAGTGTCGTCCAGCTCCAGCACAGATCGACTGTTTTCTTTAGCTGGGCTCACAGGGTGATGTTACATTTCCACATTTACCTTGCAGGCTGAGGCGTTTTAGAAGCCCCTGATGTATACTAAGTGAGCAGGAAGCAGGAGCGGAGCATTTAGACATGGAGAAAATGAGTCCTGATATGACCTTACCGCTCAGAAAGCCCAGAGCCGTCTGGTAAATGTGCACCTGCTGTGACACATAAACATACAATAACAAGCATGCTTTCCTTCAAATGGACTCTAATGCACAGCTATGTACACAGTTTTCTCAAGCCCAGGCAGTAGCACTCTGTGGAAGCTACAAACAGAGGAAAAACTAACATTTGTGTTGTGGCAGCAGGTAGGCAGGTGGTTCACTCGAGGCTGAACCATCACACACAAAGCCCTAAATTGTCTGGTTTCTACTGTGCAGCCATTTCCTGCTGTCTGTCTACACCTTTTGTAGACACATTCCAGAGGGCCAGCAACAACTTCAAATACACCGCACTAACCTGGAGCGCCCTTAAATCTCAACTGCTCTGGAGATTTTTAGTGATGTGATACTGAAATGGTTTTCAGTAGAAAATATGATGCACAATATGCAGACATCTATAACACCATGGGAAAAAAAATAGAGAAAAACTTTCAGAGCATGGTCCATGACAGTCTTTTTTTACACCATTTACAATTTCCGCTTGTTAAATTTCCCAGCATGTAAATAAAAAACAACGCTGATAAATAACTAGGGCAGTTTTATAAGCTAAAGAGGGTTGTAGCTACATGAATGACCAGTGAGCGTGTTTGATAATGTAGAGGCAATCAGTATTTAGACTTGAGAAATTATAAACTAACTTATAAATTAATTGAAATATATTGACAGGTTACTCACCAGGACCAATAATCATTACTTAACCTGTTGGTCTCAGGTTGTCATTCACAATGACAGGGGTGTCAAACTCCAGTCCTCAAGGGCCGCTGTCCTGCAGTGTTTAGATGTGCCACAGGTAAAAAACAGTGGAATGAAATGGCTTAATTACCTCCTCCCTGTGTAGATCGGTTCTCCTGAGCCTTGCTAATGACCTAATTATTCTTTTCAGGTGTGGTGCAGCAGAGGCACATCTAAAAGTTGCAGGACAGAGGCCCTTGAGGACTGGAGTTTGACACCTCTGTCACTAGAGGACCCAAATTTGGGTCCTCTAGTGACAGACAGGTTAAAGCTGCAATGTCAAAGTGTCCACAAAATGTCTCCTGACATTTTTTTTTTTTTTTTTATAAAAACAACTGTGCAAATAAATTTCAATCGGTAATTTAGCAAGACTATGTGTTTTTAGACTACATGATAATGTGGACATGGAGTTTGTCCACTCCCTCAGTTCTACAACAATAACTTTAATAGACACAAAAACACAACGTAAGTGTAATTGTTTCAACACGAGCGGTCAAACAGAATTTCAAGATGTTGGCGTTCAATAATCTTATTTACCAATTACAATAAAAGGTAGATATTTTTATTATTATTTTTTTAATTCACTGAAAACTCACAAATTTAGCAGTTAATTTCCATCATAAAAGTCCCCACAATCCTGTCTAAAACAATATCCTCAGCCCATTTCATTCAGTATTTAACTGCTATTAAGAACACAAACACAAACTAGTTAGTATGTTAGTCTCCCAAACATACTAAGAGAAATACAAACCGATGATCTGATTCGTCATCTTTACCATCGCCGTTTTTTGTGCAATCATTTCATGATACTAAGTTAATATCATGCTTCATCATGTTTTACTCACACACAGGTAAAACCATATTTCACTACAGAGTTATTTGCAAGGAGTAAATTCCAGCAGAACTGCCACAACATAGCAGGAATTATGTTTTTAAAGTTTAAAACTACACATACTTAAGAAGAGGGGAAAATTGAGGAAAGAGCTCTTAATTCTTCCATGCACTCAGCAAACTTTAAGAAAAAAAACAAAAAAAAAACCGAGTGAGAAAACTCCTGTTGTTGATTAGCCACAGGTTAGCTGCCTTTGCCCCATCGCCTCGAGTGTTTGTTGTTGGAGCTGTTTTGCGGT